GACGTTCTTCTTTAGCAAACAGCTCAAGGTGATGATCGCACAAACACAATAAACCGAAGTTGTGGAATGTCTCTCACTGACCTTTTTCAAGATAAGACTGGTGATCTCTGGTTGGCGAAAACACATTTGCAGCATATTACTTCCGTTGAACCGTAAAAATCAGAGCGATCAGCAGAAAATCGTCCACGGTATTCAGTATTACCACAGACAACTCGGTACCAACAAAAACCCACCAGTCTTTACCTTAAAGAATGTAATTGAGATAAGGGCCGAAAAGTCGGAAGTGGTCTCTCATCAACAGGCCAATTGTTTTGCTTCATGCTTAGACAAACTAATGTAAGACATATTTCACCACGAAAATCAACAAAAGTATAAAATGATCCACCTAACAGAGTGTGAAGCCTAACAGAGAGAGTGAACCACCTAACAGAGAGAGTGAAACTACATGGCACACGATAACACTATGGCAATAAGATAAGTAAGAAAGAAAAATGAATTCACGGCTAGCTGTGTAAATGAGTTAAAATCGATGGTATGAGGTATCCATAAATGTAAGAAGATCGACGAGAAACAGTGTTTACCGTCTGCAATCTCTGCCTTTTTCAGAACCACCGACGTTTTGAAAATTTCGGTGGCTATCCGTTGAGCGTCCCTGTCTACGGCGACGTAATAATCCTGAAATTTACGAGTCTTAAAAAACAGAAGTTGAAGTCCCGATATAGATTACCATCTTATCGAAAAGATGCACGGTCGAAGAATCGCCGGACTAAAATGAAGAACAATTAGAACGAATATCGAACGGTAATATAGCAAAAAATAGTATTGTAATAATCAGGAATAATCCGCTGGTGACTGCAATTGTGATGGTTCGGACTGTCAACAAGACACGTCGAAGAGTCTCAAAACGGACTCCTTTGGCAAAGCTTCATGCATGGGACTATGACCAGAATAAGGTGAGATGACAGGAATACATAAGAACTGCTGCAACTCTCGCTCTATGGAAACCAGGCTATGGTGCTTATCCAAGAATTCTGCATGATATTCTTTTATTACGTCATTTCTAAAGCTACGTCATTCGAACATTCACAGATATATACCACTCTGTTATTAAAGCGGTATTAGTTTAGATGCTTGAAACAGTGACATGAAGCTTCCTCGCCTGGCGGATGACCCTAAAACAAGAAAGCAAACAGATATCTGTCACTAAAATTGAAAGTATGAGCAGTTCGTAGTAAAGAGTTCCAACTCTAGAAAATCAACCCGACCAACGCCAGCCATGATACAAACAGGCGAACAGTGGACTTTCGACAAAAAGTGCTGCTTTTAAACTTTCACGTAAATGCTTTTATGTGAAAACAATAAAATCTTACCATTACAATGTCTAAACATAATTTCAGCACGTCTGAATCCATGGCACCTGGACAAGATTTACGCGCACGTTCCTTTCAACAGCCCGCTACAGACTATCCGCCAAATCCGGGTTTAGTTTATACAACATGGAAATCATATGCGGCTTCCCGGACATTACGACAGTACGACAGTTTTCCCTTCGTCATCGTACGCGTAGATACGTTAGCTCAATTTGTCAATGAAGATCAATAATGTCGGGTCATTCTAAGGGAACATCTTGCACCTTGTTAAATACAAATGATTATATATGCGACATCGTGTGTGAAACTGCGATTCTCAAATCATTTGCAAATTTAACAGCAACAAAGGTAAGGAATTTCCATGAACGAATGTCTGTCACGTGGGTCAAGGCTAATTGTATCTCTGTAAGGCGTTCGCATACGATAGCGTATCCTTACCTCTCGCCTAATCTGATTTATCTACACCACAGCACCATGCTGCTCGTGTTATTCGCAAGTCAGCGACGTGTTACACGTTTCTCAGCTGGTTTCACCTTGCGACGTTATTTAAATTCCTCCCTCAAGAAAATTCGCGACAATAACAAAGTTTACCCAACCCGCGAAATCGAGCCTCTTTTCAAAAGTTATCTCTCTACCACTGACACGCGTTTGAGGTACCACGATGCCCTTTCCTCCCAGCACGTACGCTGTAGTGGTTTGCCATGAAACCCAAAACACCCTGCGAACGAACCATATTAACTTTCATAACGCAAACGCTTAAGGTAAATCTCTGAAAGCTGGAAAGTGCAAGCGTGAAATCTCGAGCACACAACAGAACAGTTCTCTTACTGAGTTTAGTTTGGATGAATACGACTGAATGAATCCCATAATGCGACATGCGAAGAAGCTAGCTTTGCAGTGTTTTTTCTGAATCACAGCTTCGCATCATCGACTCTTATGTCAATCTTCATCTTCCGTCGCCGCTTCTCCTTTCGGGTCGCGGAGGCAGACACGTCAGACGGAGCTTCCAACGTTCCCGATCCTATGCCAGAGTCTGAGCTTCGGTAAAAGACAAACGGAG